TCACACATCAAACGGTGGCCATTTGGTACCAAAACCTACCTCAGTTAATTTTACCAGCAGCCGATCCCCCCCCCCCAAGGTCCTCACCCCTCGACAAATGGGTGCCGACGGGGTTAACTCGCTGTAACAGGCTGGAGCGCACGTTTGTGGTTTCACAGAAAGGCGACCGGGGAGAACGAGGTGTTGCCTGAACGGCAGGGCTGCGGGATGGCTCGGGACCAGGCAGTAAGGGCGGCCACGATGCTGCCCGAGGGCGCGGGGGCGGCACCGGGACGGCCCCCACGGAATGCCACAACCCCGCCCCGCTTCTTTACAGACACTACGGCCCCTCCGTGCCTCGGTACTGCTGCCGGCCCGCTCGTTTACAAAGCCCCCGCAGCTCATTTACACACCTCCTCTCAAACCTGGCCTAAAACACCTGTTTCTGTCTCAAATAAATAAAGATTTGAGGGTGAAGGGGAGGGATTCTTGGGGCTGGCAGGGTGACATTGAACTCCCCCAGTGAGAGGTGTCCAACCGGGAAGGCACCTTGGAGTCTGGGGCGGGTCTCACCCTCTCATTAGAGCAACGCCGTATAGGGTTTTCTAGCAACTAGAAGCTGGGTTAAATAGGCAATTAAATGCAATTTTCAGTGATTTTATGCAGAACACCATGATCAAGGCTACAGAAATCCCAATTTCCACTTTTTAAGAGTGATTTTAAAAACAGGCTTTTAAATAAGAACTCTCAGTGCCTTCTGGTGGACAGGAAGGACCAGGCTGTATGAAACTCCAAATCCACGTGCTGAGCGATGAGCTCCGATCCTCGGCAGTCTTCTGCAATGCTGTGAGCTCCGTTTCCCTGAAACAGAGCCACATTACAAAAAAGCCCCGGGCAGCAATTTCCACCTCCAAAATTTCCCACATCTCCCAACCCAGCCCTGGGGCAGCCCTCAAATTATTACAGGGTGGGCGAAAACACTTCAACCCTGTTTCTTAGCTTGATTTTTTTGCCCAACAAGTCTCCATTCCATGTGCAGTCTACTTCCCCATGGAAGCCTCGTTCCCCTGTGCTGCCTCAGTCATGTCCATCTCTGAAGCTTCCTTCTGGGGAGAAACCTTTGTCCGTCTTTGGAGGTTCCTTCCTGTAAGCGGACGCCATTCCCTGTGGGAGCCTCCTTCCCCTTGCAAGGCTCCTTGCGCTGTGGTGCCTGAGTCCCTGTGTGAAGCGTCTGTCGTCTGTGATGCCAGTGTCCCTCAGTGTTGGCAGGGTCCCTGTGTGGAGAATCCTTCTTCTGTGGTGTCAGAGTCCATCTGTGAGCCTCCTTCTCCACTGAAGCCTCCTTGATGTGTTTTGGCTGAGTGCCCATGAATCCTCCTTCCAGTAACGAGCCTTCTTTCCTATAGAAGCTTCTTCTCCTGTGATGCCAGAATCATTTGGCACTGCGTTAGTGGTAGAGGCTGTACTTGTCCAGTGATGCCTGCTTGTCCAGTGAAGCCTCCTTCCCTTGTAAAGATTGCTTCTCTTTGCAAGCCTCTTTCCTCAGGAATGTCAGAGTTCTCTTATTTGCCGGAGTCCTTTTGTGAAACCTCATTCCCTCCTGAAAGCAGAATCAGTCTGGGGAGCCTACTTCCCATCTCGAGCATCTTTGTCCCTCTGTGAAGTCTCATTCCTCAGTCATCCCAGAGTGCCTGTGAGAGTGGCCTTTTCTAGTGAAGCCTCCTTGCACTGTGATGGCAGAGTCTCCATGAAAAGCCTCTTTCCTCTGTTCTCCAGTGTGTTTGTTATGCCAGGTCCATCTGTGATGCTTCCTTGTAGGGAGAAGCCTTTGTCCATCTGTGGAGGTTCCTTCCTGTAAGCGGCCTCCAATGTCTGTGGGAGCCTTGTAGCTCTTGAAAGGCTTTTATCCCTGTGGTGCCTCCATGCCTATGTGAAATGCCCGTCATCTGTGGTGCCAGAGTCCCTCAGTGTTGGCAGGGTCGCTGTGTGGAGAATCCTTCGTCTGTGATGTGCGAGTCCATCTGTGAAGGTTTCTTCATGTGTTTTGGGTAAGTTTGAAGCCTCCCTGCAGTGATGAGCCTTCTTTCCTATAGAACCTATTTCTCCTGTGATACCAGAATCACTTGGCAGTGATTTTCTGGCAGAGGTTCAGTCTTCCTGTGAAGCCTGCTTGTCTAGTGAAGCATTCTTCCCTTGTGAAAATTCATTCCCTTTTGAAGCCTCTTTCCTCAGTGATGCTTGAGTCCTCTTAGTTGCCAGAGTCCCTCTGTGAGGCCTCCTTCCCTTCTGAAATTATAAGTACTCTTTAGTTGTTTGTTTACCCTTGGTTGACACCAAGGACTCACAACTGCCGATCTCTCACTAGCCTCTGCAACTGGACAGAGGAAAAAAATAAAAAACAACGCAGGATGTGTGAGTTGAGATAAGAGCTGGGAGAGATCACTTAATGATCACCATCACGGGTAAAAGAAATTAAAAGTGGGGATATTAATTGAATTTATTACCAACAGGGCTAAGGAGTGAGAAGTAAATAATCTGAAAAACTCCTTCCCCCAACCTCTCTTTCCTTCCACTTTCTCCCTGCTCCCCCTCAGCATTGCAGGGTGATGGGGAATGGAGATTATGGTCAGTTGTTCTTTCTGCCGCTGCTCAGGGAGAGGAGTCCTTTCCTTCTCCCTTGGGGTCCCTCCCACAGGAGACAGTCCTTGATGCACCTGTCCGGCATGAGTCCACCTGTCTCAGTTTAATGAGACTGAAGTGTTTTGCTAAGGAAGATGAGTTATGAGGAAGACCAAACTCCTCCCGCTAAGCAATTGTAAATCAGAAATTAAGAGGCTCCAATTGAGGAAGTATGGAAAAAAGGAAAAAAATAACAGCCCTTTATTAAAGGATATATGTGTATTGACAGAATGACAAAAGAACACAAAAACAACTAAACAATAATCCCGTACCCAAAAAAGTCCCCCTCAAAAAGAGAAACAGTTCAGTACTTTCTGCTTTTTTTGGTGCAATTCTAACCACGGTCAGCAGGGGGCGCTGTTGGATCACTGGAGGAGCAGAGCCTGCAGTTGCTCTGTGGTGGCCGGCAGGGGGCGCTGTTGGCTCTGGCAGTCGCTGCGTGGGGCCCTGGTGTGCGGGAGAAGCCGAAAATGGAGATCTTTCCCCCACACCAAGAAGGGGAAGGGGAAAAGGGGAAAGAAGGCGGGTTCTTCCCACAAAACTCACGCTGTCTGCGGCTGTCTGTGGCTGCGATTTTTCCCCCTTTATCGATGAGCACAAATCGCTGCCAAACACAGGAGTGGGGGAGGGAAAAGGGTGACCTCCTCCCCAAAACGTTCCTCTGCAGATGGGTCAAACCTCTGCAGTGAAGTCTGAGCAGGTCTGGGCTGGGGTCAGAACAGGGTGCAGACAAGCCGGGGCCAGAAAACAGTCAGATGACCAGGCTGAGAACAAAACGACCTCAGGGCCTGTCCAACACACACCTTGCCTGAGTTAAGGCAAAAGTGGAGTGCCTTGCCGTTTTCCCGAGGAGAAAGCAAAAAAACTCCACAGGTCCCCCCCCAGTCTTCTGAGGACTATCAACCTGGAATGTGGGGTGTCAACCAGTTCTTTTATGTGTGTGAATCACCCTAGGCAAATCACCCTCCCCCATTCAACATCTTTCTTTTGCAGTGGGGCAGGGGAAAGAAAAATTCTTGCTTGGTTTTTTAGAACAAGTAAACCTATGACACCACCCCAACAACAGTTCTTCCCAAACTGCTGTCCCGTGTGTCACTTCTCCATGGGATACAGTCCTTCACGAATGAGCTGCTTCAGCATGGGTCCCCCACAGGGGCCAGAAGTCCTGCCTGGGAAAAGTCTGCTCCACTGTGGACTCCTCTCTCCACAGGCTTCAGGTCCTCAGCAGGACCCTGCTCCATCTTGGGCCTCCCACAGGGTCACAGCCTACTTTGGATATCCACCTGCTCCAGCATGGGCTTCTCCATGGGCTGCAGGTGGGTCTCTGCACCCTGATGGTCCTCCATGGGCTGCAGAGGCACAGCTGCTCCACCATGGTCTGCACCATGGGCTGCAGGGGCCACAGCTACGGCGCCTGGAGCACATCCTGCCCCTCCTTCTGCACTGACCTTGGTGTCTGCATTGTTGGTCTTATGTTCTCACTTCGCTCTTCCCTGGCTAGAATTTTCACTGTGCAGTAGCTTTCTGTTCTTAAATATGTTATCCCAGAGGCATTACTATCACTCTTGATTGGCTTGCCCTTGGCCAGAGCCAGGAAGCCCGTCCTGGAGCCAGCTGGCATTGGCTCCAACAGACAGGGGAAGCTTTTAACAGCTTCTAACAGAAGCATCCCCCCTACTAAAACCTAGTCACAGAAACCCACTATATCTGTGGAGCCTACTTACCCTCTTGAGCGTCTTCCTCCACATGTGAAGCCTTATTCCGCAGTCATCCCAGAGTCCCCCCAAAAAGACTCTGTGATCCAGAGTCTCTTTGTGACGCTAGAGTACATCTGCGAAGCCCCCTTCTGGGGAGAAGCCTTTGGAGGTTCCTTCCTGTAAGCAGCCTCCATTCCCTGTGGGAGCCTCCTTCCCCTTTCAAGCCTCCTTCCCCTGTGGTGCCTGAGTCCCTGTGTGAAGCGTCCGTTGTCCGTAATGCCAGATTCACTCTGTGTGGGCAGAGTGCACCTGTTTTGGGTGAGTATCTGTGAAGCCTCCCTCCTGCGATGAGCCTCCTTTCCTGTAGAACCTTGTTACTCTGTGATGCCAGAGTCACTTGTTGAAGCCTGCTTGTCCAGTGAAGGCTCCTTCCCTTGTGAAGATTCCTTCCCTTGTTTTTCCTTAGCCAGCATGACCTTCTCTGTCATTCTTCCAGGTTCTGAAGTTAAAGATAGTTCGCTGTGCTGATATTGCTTAATTTTACCCAAGAAATTTTTACAAAGAAATCCTAAACATAATTTTAATCTCAAGGTAGAATGTGGAAACTTTATGGAACATAGCATCACAAGATTGTAAGTGGAGCAAAGGTGGATTATTTTTCTCTCTGTGAAAGATAAGTGAATCTCCACCTTTTTCCCAACTTGAAAGTATTTTAATTTCCAGAACTGAGAATATTTTTTCGCACATCTAAAAACATATGTCAGCTCTTGGATTTAACAATGAAAGAAGATGGTAGTTTTCTTTTTTTTCTTCCTTTTCAATCTTCCAGTCAGAAGTTTTTTTTCTTCTAATACTTCTGCTGTGAACTGTGGGAAATCATGAACTAAGCCTCTGTCTTTTCCACCCCCTTCTTCACTGGGCTAAAGGTTTCTCTTGAGCCTGATATCCACCATACAGCATTGGTTTTAATTCTTATAGCTTGTTCATTGTAGGAGTTTTTACAGGCTGAAAGACAACCTTGGTTATGCTTCTCATTATTTTCATTTTTATTTTGAGGACTAGGTAATCTGCTCCTAATGAAGCAAAACTATAAGCTTCATTGATGCTTAATAAAAGCTTTATTTTTGTTTGTTTGTTTCTTTTTGTTTTCTGCAGTGGTTTGATATTTTGTACCTCTCTCTTTGTCTGTCTTGCCCACTGCAAGCTTGGAATGGGAGTGAACTCTGCTTTTCCCTTGGCTCCATTTCCCCAGGGATTCTTGCTTGTGCAAAAGAGCCTGTGCTTGGAAGGGCTCCAGACTTGCTGCACCATTCGGAGCTGCTGCTTCCTGGCTCTCCCTTCAGGTGATGCAAGCTCTGGACGGGCACTAGAGCACTTTTCATGCCTCCTTGGCCCAGATACGCAGTGACAGAGTATGTTTTGGAAGGAAAAAGGTGTGCTAGTTGTCAATATGTGTCCTGCTTTGGAAAACATCCCGTGATATCACACACCTCATTCTTCTTTTGTGTGGTCACTACCGATCCTCATTCTTAAAGTTCTCGCTTTCATTCATCAACCATCATAAAGTACTGTTTCCACTTGGAACATTTTGTGTCTTTGAAGGCATTTTTAGAGCTGTTTTCTGCAATAGTTTGATATTTTGGTGTGATGTAAATAAAGGCAGCTGTTCACCAGTGCAACATGTATATTGAAGCACATTGATGTGGCCCCAACACAGTGTGAATGCTGCATGAAGTTCTTTCGGTATTTAGGTCCAGTGGGTCTGACTGAGTTTTAAAAGCAATATGCAGTGAGACATGGATACTTCCTCTACTGTGATGTTGTTCTCTAGGATCATTCAAGATCATGTTCACAATGCCTGATTCCTGGATATCAGTACAGAACAAGCTCAAAACCTAGCTGCTCAACACAAAGGGAAACAAGAAATTAACTTTTAAGTATTTCCTTACATTATTTTTGTGCTAAATCTATTTACTCCTACTTTGTTTTAATTATCAAAACACTAATTTTTTTTAATGTTTGCACGGTAGAGGGAGCTGGAAGTTTAAAATATGTATTCAGTGTGTAACTGTTGCCTGTAAAGACGAGAAATGTCAGTGGAATAACAAATGAGGTTTTACCATTGCAGGAAGATGATGGACATTTATTCCAAGCCATTAAGTTAAATGAGTCAGAGGATTTTAAGTCAGTGGTGTTAATGGTCTTACCTGGGAGCACTACCATGAGACAACAGAGGCTGCTCAACCATATGCTTTGCAGCTGATTTTATTAAACTACAGCTGGCATTGGCACCTTGATGCTGTTTGTGTTCAGAAATACTCATTTAATGGAAAAATTTAAATATATATATTTCAGTTACCTTTTAATTAAATAATATTTCCAGATTCTGTAAGTGTTGAGGTTTTTTTCCTCCATCTTTGTATTTTAGTTGCTGTCAAACTCGTTTCAGTTGAGCCTGAGATTCAGTCCATTGGAGCTGCCAGTATAAAAGCACATGTACTTGCCCTTGAGCCTATTTCTATGAACACAATCTTCTCCCATCTCCATTAGACTAAACTATTTATGGAAAATCCATTTTGATAAAACCAGGCAAGGGAGAGGGTGCATGTTTAGCTGGTCTGTTAGAGTTAGAAGAAAGTGTTATCTCTTGCCGTCCCAGAGCTCCAGGCACCATGCACATCTTAATGAAAAGCCCCTCAGTCAGTGTTTATTTCCAACACACATGGGAATCATCAAGAAACCTTCTGAAAACCAAAAAGCCCTATTTTCCTCACTGTTCTTTGACTGCGTTAGAAAAATTACCTACCTGGCAACTCTACCTGATCCTGCCATTTCAGAGGCATCTCTGACCACATGCAGAGAAATATAGAGCAGCATCCCTACTCTGGTGAGGGTAGAACTTCTTTTAAGCAATTCACCTGGGGCTCAGCTGCTTTCTTAATTGCAGAGAGGGTCCAGCTTAACTTGGTGCTGTTTGGGGCACATCTGCTGCATGGCCTCTGCTGGGTGGGAGTAGCAGAGTATAGCAGAGGAGCTGAGGAGACCTCAACACACAGCTTGGGCACATCATTATACCACATCTGACCAAAGCTGCAATGACGTCTGGGGGTGCGAGTTCTTGTGGCTCTTACAGTTGGAGGAGCGTAATTTTTCCTTCATATCCCTTGTCTGTGAATTAGAGAGATCTAGCGGTAATGTAAGTGTACAAAGGTGTCTACAAAAGGCAGATGAGGAACAGCTTTGAAGGATCTTTAAAGTGAAGACAGTAAATTTAAGCAGTAGGACTTCCTTATTGTGATGAGCTGGTGGGAGTGCCTGACACTGATGGCAAAAGTGTTTATTGTGAATTGAGTTAATAGAGGATGTGACAGAATGAGAGCTCTAGCTGCATGGACAGTCACATCTCAGGGAAGGGGAGAGAAAGGCACAGAAAAGATCAACACTTTGATTTGTGAGCTTAAAGATGAGCTTAAATTTGTAAGTGGCACTTTGGAAACAGAATATAGCACTTTTATATCAGATCTGTGCTGTTGTTACCTGTATTATTAAAAGAGAAGGCTTTATAAGCAATTATTTAATCACAATATATCATTTACTCTGCTGTTTCTTTGCAGGTGACTGCAGGAATGACAGTTTAGGCTGTTACCACAGGGTGTCTCTCCTTGGTAGAGTTTGGCATTCTATCTGCTATGACCCATATAGTTTTCCCCGCTGATAATTACTTTCTCTTATCTGGTCAAGAAAATTCCCTTCAAAGGATTTCTTTGATTGAGGAAATTCATTAATATGATCTTGAGATAATGTTAATGCTTCTTTGCTTGAGTCTTCTCAGTTACTGTTTGAACAGCACATTTTTCCATAGTTTATTAAGGAAGATTAGCATCTTTTGATGTTTACTTTAATGGAAGACCTTCTATCAATTAATTAATATTTTCTAGGTTCCAGAAAAAAAAAGTAGTCGGGAAAAGTAAATCTGTGTATTATTATTGCAGGAAACATCTGTGCCCATCTCTTAACACAGATGTATGTAAACCCTTGGAAGTGTTCACCCAAGGAATGATCTCATGCTCAGGCTTCCTGAGCCCATCTCACAAATTGTCATACTCATAATCAGCAAAACAGGCAAATGAAAGAAATGTTCAGGAAATTAAGGTCCTTTTGGCTCTACGAGGAGCACTTAAAAGGTGTGATTGTTAATAGTTCCCATGAGATGGCTCCCGAGGTACAGAGGTGATGCAGTGCAGAGTGATGCAGATAAGGTTCATGACCAGCAACTCTATCATGTCGTAAAACACTACTGCAAAGAACAACAAAACTGTAACTTTAGCCCAGACTCCACCGAGGATAAACATCACCATAGGGAGCACATACACCAAGAGCGATGTTATATAACGTGCCTGTGAGCACATACGCAAATGAAATAACATGGTGACTAGCAACTACTAAACCGATACAATTGTTGCTTGTAATTAATTTGTTTTAACATGCTCTGATCAGGTCTGTTTTTATCTCAATCCTCTGGGCCCTATGTTGGGCACCAAAAAGGTCTGTCATTGTTCAACTGCAGCCCCAACTAAGTACCACACAGCTGCTACCTCACTACCCTTGCCCCAGTGGAGAGGAGAATTGGAAAGAATAGGTAAGCCTTATGCGTTAAGATAAGTACAGTTGAATAATCAAAACAAAATAAAATATACTATTACTACAACTAATGCTAATGACAACTGTAATGGAAAAAGAGACAGAGAGCAATAAACCCCAAAAGAAACAACTGATGCATAGTACCATTGCTCACCACCTGATGCCCAGCCCTTCCTCCAGGAGCAATCAGCCCCTCCCAGCCAACTCCCCCCAGTTTATATACTGGGCATGATTCTGTATTGTATGGGATATCCCTTTGGCCAGCGGGTCAGCTGTCCTGGACATGCTCTCTCCCAGCTTCCTGTTCACCTGCTAACTGACGGAGCACGGGAAATTGAAAAGTCCGTGGCTCAGGGTAAGCACTGGTGAGCAACAGTTAAACCATCAGTGTCTTACCAACATTAGTCTCACACTGAATCCAAAACACTGCACTGCACCAGCTATGAAGAAGAAAATTAACTCTATCCTAGCCAAAACCAGGCCAGATCTTTTTATTTATTTCTTCCAGAAAGGAAGAAATATTACAAGAAATCTGTTAAAGGAAATTTATGAATTTAAGAGATGGAATTTCTACCTCAACAAATGAATGCAGCTTTTCTCACAAGCTCAGTCATAGGCCTTTACTTTATTTAGAATTAGAATAGCAGTGTTCTGAAGAGTAGAAAAAAAATGAACAGAGTTGGTTCCAATAGAGGAAGAGCTGAGACATATGTGCAGAAGACAGAACAAGTTTAAACTATTTGGAGGTAATACTATCTTTTAAAAGTAGTTGCCTAATTTACAGTGTGAACAGGTTTTTGATTAAATATTTATGGGTTTTTTTCTCCCAACATGTTCTTTAAGCACTTTTGGGTAATTATGTTTTTATTTTGGGCTGTTCTGTTTGGAGTTGTTTTTGAAACTCATATTTATTTGAAGCTTTGATGGATGTGAACTTTAAGTCTTGGTTTTGCTTTTGGGCTGGGGGAGATTTCATATTTTCTGATAGCTCTCACTTCCTCCACTGTACTATGAAGCACTGTACTATGCTTGCTAGAATCAAGCAGTAAATTCCACCTGAAATCATTGAGCTGCAACTAATTAATCAGCCAGCTGATATAGTAGCTGGAAACGTCAAGTATGCACGTGTGCCAGTGGTACACCACCTGCTGTGCCTGTCATCCACTTACTCACATCCTTCCTCTGATTTAGAAATCTCTGGAGGCAAAGGTAAAGATAGCTCACCTTTGGAATATTTTGTATCTGTATCTACCAACAAAATAACTGCCTATCTCAGTTAATCTAGATTATTTAAAGCACTTTTGCTCATGTATGTTAGTTGTTCACTTCCCTTCCATGGAAAAATTTAGTATCCGGTAAATTTAACTTGTTATGGTAACTATTGTTATCTCATTTTGTTGTTTCTGATCTTTTCTAAATTTAAAACAAAAGGAATTGATGGTAAGAGATCCTGCGTAGGATTTCACTGGTAATTCCATGAGATGCAGAACACTTTTACTATTGGAGTCAAAAACAGTGAGAGATTTTTACAGCAATTTGATTAAATATGAAGGGCTGGATATTCCGTTAAAGGTGAATTTATGAAGAATAAAACCTTTCATAAAAGTGAAACATTTTAAAAGATAATATTTCTTTCTGTCTGTATTTTATACTTTCATTGGAGGGTAGATATTATTCCGTGTTAAGTAATGCATAAACACATAGTTTACTTTTCTTAGTAATAGCAGGAATTTCCTTAAAATTTAGGTTAATTCTCAGTGAATCACAGATTGAGCACACCCATCTCAGCTGCATACACTGCTGTTTGATATAGGGCAAAGAGAGTGAGTGCTACCAAGATAAATCTTCAACCCACTGTTCCCACCCATGTCCTGTTCTTATTTTTGTGCTGCTCCAGATGTTTGAGAGACATCATTTTCTCAAATGAGAGTTGTGGTCACTTGGCACACTGAGATATTCTCTGTCATCTGAGGTTAGCAGAACCCTAGCAGATGCTGTCATTTCTGTAAGTGCAATAAACTCAATTAAACCTTCAATTGATGCACTCATAAATGAAAACAGTAGTTTTGTTCCTATGTGGGGGAAATAACTGGTCTCCTTTACTAAAGTCATTTGGAAGGAATCCCATGACTTATGAAAGTATTTGCTTAAAGGGTGAAAAAACCCTTATGAACATTTGAGATCCCTGGACAGATCTATGACAGAGATGGAAAACACAAGCAAAGGTGTGACTCTGACACATCACCTTTCTTTCCTCCCTTCCCCTTTTTCAATGGCAGTGACAATCAGTGATGTGCTTTAGGCACACTGCCAATGAATTTTCTCCAAATGTCTCACTTACTGTGCATTTCGTTTCAGTCAGGGGAAAGGGAGGTAGTACTAGTAAAGTGAATGCATGACACTGGGGAGAGCTCTCTAGGTCTTCTCCTCGAGTAATGGAAGCTGGGGCTCTGTGCCATGGCACTCCAAGGGAAATTGGCCAAGTAAAACACTGGGAGGCAATATTTGTGCCTGCTTTCACAATTTACGTAATTTGTAGCACATGCTGTGAGATGTGTCTGTGAAAGAGGTGTAAGTGGTCTGCGCATGAACTGGGGTTGCCTTGGGGCTGTAAAGATGAACTTAGCCTTAATTAAAATGTTGTGGTTTGTTTTTTTTTTTTTAATTTTTTTTTTCTATTTTACTTTAGAAGGACAACTATACTAGAAATTAGGACTGGATAATTAGAAATTTTATGTATTGCACTCATTTTGTGCCACCAAATAACATTTTATTTACTATGGTAATATTTTCCATCTTATATAGTGCTGCATTTTTCCACGGAATGGAAATTTATGAGATTTCTCATTTAAGAAGTGTCCTAGGACCTGCCTTGCTCAGCCCTAAAGCCAGTCTTTCATGCATCTGGGAAGGACCATTATTCTGTTTTCATGGTAAGGAGATGCTGGTTCATAACTGAACTGATCAGAACCTACATGTGGATTCAGAAGTCCTGGGCTCAGACTCAAGTCAAATAGGCTTTGCTGCTTTCTGTTGTAGGTGGGTTTATGTTGCTGTCTCACCAATCTCTGTGGAGTCAGCTGAATTCCAGTGGTTATAAAATGATCCTTCAGGTGGCTGTAAGACTATTGGTAACACAATCCTATAATATCTCAGACTTCAACTCTGTAGGATTTTGTATGAAAATAACTTAAACAGTGTTATTATTTCTACATGGAAACAAATAAAGATGTCTGTTTCCATCTCTCGTTTTGTACCTTTCTCCCTGACTTTCAAAGCTGAGTTCTTTCTTAGAGACATAACCATGTATGGGAGACAGTCTGTATATTCCTTGCTGGCATTTTCCAAACTGCTCAGCCAGCCTGTCATGAAAAACTAAATTCATTTTGGAATAAAAAGTCAAGGCATCTAGAACATAACTGACAGTGAAATGTTTAAAAACTCATAAATTAGTTTTGGCTTTATTTAGTCTAAAAGGAATAGAGCATTGTGTGCATTTTGCTAATGTTTACATTAAAAATGAAGGCGTGATTTGTTTCCAGTCTCTGGGCCAAATTACAAAGATTTTCTGTTACACCAAAGCTTTGGCTGGTGTGGAAAAAGAATAACTGTGCACAATAGGAAGAGAAGATTATGACATGCATGACATACAGTCACTAGTGGCCTTGGGATACTCCTTTTGGTAAGAGAACAACAGATAGGAATCAGCAAGACATCCCAGTTCCTACAGGTTCTCACTTGGGTCCTGCAACGAGAGCCTTTTGCACTGCTGGCTCTAAAACAAGGGGCAGGTGTCTTGGTGGAGGACCCTTGGCTAGGGTGCTTCCCTCAAGAGAAAGGGAAGATGGTGTTTGCCAATCTGTCTGGTTTCCCTTGATCTGCTTCGTGACACTTGTGGAATAATTTTGATTAGTTGTAGGTATTGGTGTTGATGGTGCAGGACATGGAAGTACCTTGATATTTTTTTTTTTTAATCAAGACAATTTGTTGTACTAGAAACTAGTATGGAAACAAAGTAATTGAATATTCTGCTTCCTTCAAACAAAGCCCATATGCTGTGCTCATGGGAAGGCTGTCATGTCATGCCTAGGTATGTAAAATAAAATGATCTTAGAGGTGATAAATACTTACAGCTTGGCACCTCTGAAATAGAGTGCACTTTGGCACATGTGCACACTGCTTAGATGCTTTGCTCTGAACATGGAAACCCTGCTGAAATCACAGAGCACATTCACACATGGCTTAAAAATTAAATTTTAGAAGGCTGGCTAGATATTCATGAGCTTCCCTATTCCTTGTCTGCTCTTATGTAAAAAAGTCTAAGGTCTTTACATAAAAAAATGTCCTTTTTTCTCTGCCTTCAGTTCAGGTAATACAGGCATAAAGGGTTTCAGCTCATCAAATTTGACTGATTTTACATCAATTTGGCTGTTATGTGCAGTCAATATACCACAGTGTGGCCTTTGAATCACAGGAAGAAGCTATTTTTTAACTATGGTTTTGAGGGTTTTTAGCATGTTTTTACACTTCTTACATTGAAGTGTAAAAAGACAGGAATTACTTTAATGACCTGCAGATCCCCTCATCCCCCCCCTTTTTTTTATGGAGCAGAAAAGACATACTCCTAGGAGCACTAAATGGGAAAGATGACCTATTTTAGTTTAAAACCACAGATGAACTGAACCTACCTTTTCAAACCTAAGTCCAGCAAACAATCCCATTAAAACACCGTCTTAAAACCTTAATGTACCTTTTCTACAAAAGTGCCATACTAGGAAGAGATAAAGAAACTTTCCACCCAACACAGGGCAGTCTCTCCATACAGGCAAGCAGCTGCTGCTCTCTTTGGGCCAACACTTGAGGTGACAAGGAAAGGCAATGTTGTTTCCATAGTGTCATCTTTGTTTTTTTCCTAATTTATTTTATTAATTTTTTATTTTTTAGTTTCTGTTGGATCAGTTTAACCTCTGGAGCAGGAAACTTTATCCCCTTATCTTGCACCACCCTGAACACCATAGTACTCGCACTAATACCTTTCCTGGATGGCTTGACTTCTTCCATCTCTTCTCACCTCACACTCCTCAAGAACTTTTCCATACTGAAACAACTACAAACATGTCTATTGCTATATTTTCTTTTAGTCAGTGGCTAATTAGCAGATTTAAGCATTTCAGAACAATTTCTGAAGCAATGTGATTGCAGCAGTGTCTTCAGGGTACCTGAAAAGGAGTTAGTGTGATCTCTGGAGGTTGTATGTCTGGAAATTACAGCAGACCATGGTTTTGAGGTCACTGTTAGTGTGTGTTTAGGGATGGGATTCAGAGTTTTGTACAGTAAATGGCATTTACAACATCACTTATTTGAAAGTGAATTGGATTTCTACTTCTGGTGTAGATACGTGGTGTTACCAAGGCAGATTTGCAGAACAAAAAGGTTCATGGTCATTCGGAAGTGCATCTATTTGAATTACTTCAATGGTAGGGGGGAGTAGGGGGGAGTGGGCACCAACTCCTGTTGAGTTTTGAACCACCTTGCTGACAGTTCTAATGCTGTGAGAGTTTTGTTCAAATACACCTGTGAATTGGACTGCTCACTGTAGACCACTTTGCTGAAGATATCATCTAGCATAGTTGGCTTGTGATCCAATGCAACATGCTGAATTAGGCCACTTACCTATAAACTTATAGGTAAATTTATAGATAAAATATATAGTTAAGTGGACTAATTTAAAAAGCACCTTCAAACTACATGCTGCAAGCACAAAATGGGAAGTGCTTGTGGAATCTTGAGCTGGAAAAAGTAACATTCCCTTTTAAAATTTGCCAGTTTCTCATCTGAAATAGGTGAAGAAAATGAAAATGAAAGACGTAGAAGAAAACTGTCAACATCATCTCCACGTATGTTACAAAATAATATTGCCTGTATGCTGTATGCTGCATAATATACTGTAAATATTTTAATGTATAATAATGTGTATAAAGCACAATACATGCTAACCCTCCTGAAGATCAGTCTAAATTATAAAAAATACTAATTTTAACTTTAGATTTGCCAGTAACAAAATTTATGACAGAAATCAAAATCTTACTGTTAGGAAGGATGCTGTAGATGGTATAACAAGACCATGGTGTATGTACCTTCATGCTTGTCATTTCCCTGGAGTTCCTTCTGGCAGAGGCAGCTTGCAAACACCCCTTACAAAGCAGAAATGGCAATCCTTCTGCTGAAGGATGATCTCCCTGAGCTATGGTTTATTTATGGTATTTTACAAGATTTGCTTCCAGCTAAGCGGAAAAAGTAGCACACAAATGATAGGAGGTTCATTCTAACTAACACACTTGTAGTTTCCAAAGTTTTCCATTTCCTTCAGCCTAGATAACAGCATAAATCAGACAAAGGTTGTGTATTGAATAGTTTGTTTATGAAGGCACATGCAATACATAATTCTGACCTGGGTGTTTGGAAACACTGTGCTATTCAAGCATACAAAGTCAATGGGAACAACCTGACTGATACATAAAAATACCCTATGTTCTTGTGTATGGCTTGAAAATCTCTTTTGAAATTTGAAGTTTTATGGTACATTTGACCTTTAATAATGGCGGTGATTTAATGTTCTACTGAAAGGCAGTTACTGGTGGAGTGTCCATGTACCTAGAAAAACACTCTTACTCTTTATTACAGAGCAGCACAATTATTTTTAGGTAAGAAAACCCTTCTTTAGCAGCCTCTCAGTCTGGTGTTTCTTGATGGAGATGCTAATTTCCTACAGAGAGAGCTCCAGGAACACAGACTTTAAATATTGATGAAAATCAGGAGCCATACCATTCTCTGAAAAGAGCCATGCAAAGATGAAATGGCAAGATAAAAACACATTAAGCATCTTCTTAGAGCTCCAAGCTGCTCTGGGTCTGTGTGGGGTCAGGCCATCTCGCTGCCCACGTTCAGCTGTAAATATTGAGCATGCTAACATGTCAGTGCCGTGCAAGCCAAACTGAAAGGGCTGCAGGTGGACTGACACAGGTGTCCCTTCAGCCCCTCATGCCTTCACCCCCACCGCCAGGATGTTGTAACAGGAGGGGAGAGGCTGCTGTGGCTCCCACGGCAGGATGAGGAGTCACTGAGCCGCTTGGACACTTAGGACCAGAACCTTTCCCGTGCGGGGTAGGTGCCTACCCCCCGAACACCCACCCAGAGCAGTGGATTGGCAGCGGCATCGTTGCCGTGGCTTTTGGAGGAGCTGGAGGCACGGCCCCCCCTGTCTGCATGCATACGCAAACACAACACTCACACGTGCACACTCCCGCCTATCCAGCCTCCCCCGCCCCGCCCGGCCGCCGGGTCCGCCCCCCCGGCGCTGGGAGCGCCCGGAGGCGGGGGAGTTGCTCCCCTCCGCCCCCGCTCCCCCCCGAGGCTGGACGCCGAGGCATGAAGAGGAGCCTCCCCGGTGGGGGAGTTGAGGTGGGCTTGGTCCCTAGGCGGCTGCGGACCGGCCGCCCCATGCGGGCTCCGTCCCTCGCGGCCCCTCGCCGGGATGGAGGCACAGGGCAGCCGCCGGCGGCAGCTTCCCGTCCTGCTGCTGTGGGGTGAGTGGCTGGGGCGACTGGACGGGGGGAGCTCGCCGCTTCAGCGCCGGGACACCGGCGGCTGCCGCCCCGGGACCGGCCGAGCATCCTCGAGTGTGCGCGGCCTCGGTGGGCGGTGGTTTCTGCCGGGGCGCGGGGCTGAAGTTCGGGAGAGGTGTGAGCGCCCTTACTATTGCTAGAGCATCCCTTTGGGAGGGAGGTTTTCTCCGGGAGTCCCTTACCCGTGGGTCAGGAGGCTGCGAGTACTACTTTCCCTCTAGGGCTCTCCATCCATCCCGAGCAGAGCGGAGGCTTCGCGGCGGGAGCGTTTCGGCAGCGCCGGTCCGGCGGCGGGGCTGGTGAGCGGCGTCAGGGCCCTCGGTCCCCTCCGGCATCGCACTGACGGCAGCCTCCCATCGCCGAGGGAGCCCCCAAACAAGGCACAGGGCGCTCAGGCCCCAGGAAAAATGGTCTCCCAAACTTCTAGCGTTAGTCGGGCTTTCAGATCCCACATGGGTTTTGGGGAGTTGCGTTTGGCCGTTAAGGAAGGTTTTCTGCTGCAGACTGAGGGGCTGATTCCTGTTAGAGTAATTGAGTTACAAGCAGGCAGTTATTAAGCAGATATTATCATTCAGATATCATTCACTTAGGGTAGCTCTGCTCCTAGAAGAACTATGTTATTGTTCCTTGGCACATAGCTTGTTTTAGGGTTCTCAGATTTAAGGTGTTGCAGTCAGGTCAAAAGTTGCAGGGAGAAGTAAGTTCTGATCTTCTTCACTCAACAGAATACCCAGAGATGTGGTTAATTCTCTGTGAGTCACGCTTAAGGGAGAAGAAAGTCAGGTCTGGTACCTTTAGAAGGTGTATCTGAGGACTTTTTGACTTTGTTTGCTACTTTATGCTGCTTCCAAAGTACAAAGGTGGTAAACACTGGACATCTTTCTATGAAAAGATGTCCAAATAAATGAGTAATTGTATCAACAGTAGTCAGTAGCATCATCTTTACCTGGTCTGTCAAAAGGATCACATGTCAAATACATGATTCTCTGTGGCTTAAGGATTGCCTAAATCTTACCTTAGTTCCTCATAGTTTGTTATTTCCCAGCTGTAAAGGAATAAAAAAATGGCCAACATCTGTCTTGACATGGGAAAGATTTATGTGATCTTGAATTTAGGGAACCAAGCAGTAATCTTTTTGTATGGGGACACATCTTGATATTACTGTGAATTTGGAAAACAAAATTGCTCACTGGAGATTTATTTTCAGAGATTGAGTGGAGTGAGGGGCAGTGCCTCTCTGGCTCAGGGCATTTTTCACCAGAGAGGCAAAGGTAAATCAATTGTGTTAGACATTTTTGACTGTGCTAGTTCCTTTCACAAGAAAAAAAAAGATTTTAAGGATATCTGTTAACTGATAATGCATTGCTTTTGCCTGAAATTGGAAAGGGTAGATATAATCAAGAATTAATGAAATGAGATTGATTTCCTAGTAGGAAAAGCCCTCTAAGTTCTGTGATGTGAAATCGAGTTTTTTAATAAGGAAAACCTTAAGTGGTAGAAAACTGAATTTCTTCCTTGAGTAGTACAAACACACTTTTAATATGAGTTATTTTGGAAGAATTTTTACTTTAATTGAATGGCCATTCCTAGAGGCTTCTTTTGACTAACCAGAGATCCGTGACCTCTCTCATTAAGGTAAAACTCTTGCCAGGATTCTTCAGTGTTAGCTTACTGACTGCAGTGGGAAGTCCATCTGAGTGGGGACTGGGACTGTGCTTCTGTAGCCTCAGACCACTGCTTTCTCTGTCTTTCTGCCTAGGACTATTGACACATTATCACTATGTAGAACTATCTGTTATGTTGTCCTTCCTTAGCAAGGATGACAAAAAAGGCAATGTGTTCACTCTGTGATTACAAGAGAAGTTGGATTTGCTGTGTGTGGGGGGTATCTGTGTGGAGGGTAAAGAATGCATCAACTGAGGCACCTGGTACACAGGCACGTGGTCGGTTCTGTTTTCCATATGAAGTGCTGATAACATCCAGAATGGGGGCGAGGTGCAGAGCTGGAAATGCCAGCTGTCAGGTGAAATCCTCTACTTTGCTTAGCAGATTTGTAGATAGACACTTACTAACTGTGGAATCTAAGCACCTCAGAAATAGTGATGTATTTACCATCATACCAGAGTCTCTTATTCTACTTCTATGTATGGGAACTGAGGCAAGGAGCAACTTAAAGGCTTGACCAAGACTTCTAACAGATGAGGTGGGTTTTTTTCACACAAGTCATTGTTTTGGCATCTCTGTCCAAATGTTTGCTCCTTCATTCTTTATGCAATGCCTGCATTTCAGTAGTACTATTTGTATTTGAATTGAAAGATGCTACCAGAGTAAAACTGGGTGTTTTTTAAAATTCCAGATTAATCTTTCTCAGTATGTGTATATAAACCCATATCAAGAGAGATGGTGTGATTCTTATCTGGAGCAGTTTTCCAATGCAGATTTCAAAGACTGACTGTAGGTTTTTCCATTTTATAATCCTGTTTTCACAGTGTTAAACAGGTCAGAGGTGAGCAACTGGACAGTTGGAAACCTGGAAACAGAGCCTGGTCCCAGTTACGTTTTTGCTTTTTATTTTAAAGACTATACCTCATCCTGCAAACAATAATGAAAAAGCTGTGTATTAAAGTCCAGATTCTGAGCTCCCCTTGTATGCAACATAGCATCTGTAACTACTGGAGAGTTTGGATTCCAATGAGGGAAAAAATCAAACCATTTTAGTGGGTTAAAGTTTGAAAACCAAATCAAGGGTTTTTTTTTTCATTATTTTCTTATGAAAATATCATGTTGTTCTGCAGCTGCAAAGGGTGGAACAAAGAAAGGGAATACTGTCATAGGAGTTCTGAATTTAATAGACCCAGGCGAGTGTGCATGTAGAACAAATAAACCTTTGCAAAGAAGTACATCTGATTCTGAGACAGACCACAGAGTTCTAACAAAAACACTTCTCTAAAATATAATGCTTCATTTTCTAAAGACATGATTTTCAACACTAGGCAAGCAGGAGGACAGGCAGCAGACCGCACCAGCATGCATCCTGAAAGCAAAGCATCTAGTGTAAATGCAACCTCTGTTACAACTTGCTGTTGGATCCAGACGTTTTTCCCACCATCCTTCACCCTCTTTGTGTCTCCTGATTCTTTTATTTGGCAAGGTGTTGCCCTTTTCCTGAGGTCTGTACTTACAACTGGAGATAGGTTCATACCACCTGCTCTTGACAGGGTGAACGGCAGGATTTCCTGATTTCAGTTGTCTCTGTGATGGTAAATGAACTGCAAGTGGTAGCACAGAGGATCGAATGGCATCTCCAGCTGTCTTGGTCCGAGCCCTCAGGAGGAATGACACTTCCTGTTTGAAGGCAATTCCAGGTTGAAAGTGTGGAGGAAGAAGAGAGACTTTTTGAACCTGATTTACACCAATGAGATCTAATTCTTGCTCTTAACTTAGTAAGATCTCCCTACTTACATAGTAGTTAAGGTTTTAAATACCTTTGGTGTCTCAGGGCTTTACTTTTAGGTTTATTTTAGTCAAACCTGTGATGCAAATCATCAGAGGCTGTTAAGATAGAAGTCTACATTGAGGTAGACAGGTACTGCTATAGGGGCAGATACACACATACTACATGATTTTAAGTAAATAGTTTTGAGCATGGTTCCCTCAAGGAGAACTATGGCAGATTTTGTCGATTAAATTGTGTTTAAACACTGCAGCACCAGCAGTTTTTGTATGGTTTGTGGTTCAGTTTCCCCCACCTCTGTACTGATAACAGAGATGATTCATGGCTTGAATTGGAGACAAATGAGTCAAATTTCAGTTTTCCTTACCAAGGAAAAAAATGCAGTGAGTGGTGTCTTACAAAACACCACTTGCTACCATCTGTTTTGGCTATTGAAATTAGTGCTTGAGAAACACATATGAAGAAAGCAAACTGTGCTCTCCTAGGGCTCGTGGGGAGGTTAATTTTCACAAACATAATGAAACGTGTTTTAATTCACACCTTTTTAGTTTAGTGAAAGCTGTCGCATGAACCATTTTATTTCAGAATAAAATTGTAGAAGTGTATAATTTTGTGTTTTATGAAAACAACCTGTGCTTTTTTCTAAAATAAGAGTCTCTTCACAGCCAGTCTTGCATTGAGATAAACTGGAAAACATAAACAGAAAAAAAGACATTTTTTTAATGTGACTGTGTATGTAGAACAATCTAAAAGCTGCTTGAAGAACGCTTGGGTCATGTGTGGGAATGATATGTGGGTATGAGGAAAGAAAGGAGTAGCAAAGTGGAATAGGAGAAAGCTGCCTATTCAGAAGTTTTTAGGCCTGATTTCCCATCATATGTTGGCTTTCCTGAAACCAGTCTGAAAAGAGGAGACAGCTTCGTTCCTTGCTAAAAACCTTAAAAAAAAAATACAATTGCACTGTTAGATGGTTTGAAGGTTAGAGAGAGTCCCAGCCTTTGTCTTTGGAGCAGCTTGACATGATCTACCGTATTGTCTTGAACAAGTGGCATATCCGCATAACAGCTGGTGGCCTCAGTTTATCTCCTGGAATACAGAGCTTTGCCTGTATGTAGCCAGATTGATGGCCTTCTATAGGTGAGGTGTCACTTGTTCTACCTATGCTCTGAGCCAGGGAGACTCTCATCTGAAGAGGACAATGTGATAGACGTTGCTGGGGCCCTAGCCCAGCTCCAGGTTGCAAAAGCACGTCTTCTTTGCGTTTAACTAGATTAAGCTGAGTAAGCAAAGGACTGTGCAGAAGCATCAGGCCTGCCATAAAGCATCTGTCTTACTTTCACACCCTAATAAATGTGACTAATTTGCTCTTATTTTGTAGAGCATTATCTGGAAAAAAAATTTCTGTGAGAATAGATACTATAATTCATGTTGGCCAGTAATGACTGTCACTTCCTGCAGGAATTTAATTTTGTTTCCAAATGTCACAAGTGACAGATTTCTTTTGCAT